TAAGGGTTAGGGTTAGGTTAAGGGTTAGGGTTAGGTTAAGGGTTAGGGTTAGGTTAAGGGTTAGGGGGGTTAGGTTTAGGTTTAGGGGTTAATTTTAGGTTTAGGGTTTACAGCGTGCTTCTGTCTCCATGCTGTTGTCGCCCTGTTGATGACGTCAGCGACGCGGTTTAATCGGGCGCGGCTTAGTCGAGCGCGGTTTTGACGGGTCACGATCTATTGCAGCCTCTGCAAGCCCCATTTTCCCCTTCGCTGCAAGGAGGTAAATTGCTGGGATGCAGAGGCCAAAGGGTGGGAGCTGGTGGGTGGGTGGGGCTACATTCAGTGTATATTCTCACCATCTTTTTTTTGGGGGGGGGGGGGCGTGTCTTATACTCCGAAAAATACGGAAATTAAACCATGGAGGTCAACATGCAAGGGACCAAGGCGATTCTCTTGAACAGGAGAGATCTGGACAGCTTGGGCAACCCAAGGGGCAGGTGAAAGGGTCCCAAGCTTTGCAAATCTTACTAGATTCCCACTCCAGATGTTACACCAGCATGCCCATGAGAAAGCCGTTATCTTCTTCAACTAGGGCTCACCTTCTCCAGATAGGCCATACTTTTAACTTTCTGGAGTTAATTATCTGGAGGATACGACCAGCCACCGCTGGGTATAAATGCTAGCTACTAGCCTGGGAAAGGATGTGTTGGGATGGGCTCCTGGGAGGGAGAGCCGGTGCTTCTAAAGCGGCCAGTGTTGAAGGGACAACTTACCAGGTGCTGCATCTGGACAGCTTCCAGGGGATAATCTCCTTTGGCTGTTTCTCCGGACAGCATGATACAGTCGGCTCCGTCCAGCACCGCATTGGCAACGTCGCTTCCTTCCGCACGGGTCGGGCGGGGCTTCTTGATCATGCTCTCCAACATCTGGCAGGGAAAATGAACGTTACGCGCTCCGTGGAAGGAGTGCTTTTAAAGGACCTCGTTTTTAAAGGCTCTCGCAGCGAAAAGGCGAAGCTGATTTAGCCTCAAACAAATCTCGAAACCTCTGCCGTTTCCACATTTACAGTCCCTCTTAAGAGTCCTTAGCTAAAATTCTAATTCCAAGCTACCTTTGGAGGAGAATCACCTTATTGTTGAGAGAGGTCTTGTTCCCATCGTTCAATAGGGTTAAAGCTTTTTGCGTAAGTGTTTTCAGCTTTGCAATCACTAGTTTATTTTTAAGAGGCTTTGAAGCAGTGTTACAGCTTTTGGTAACATCATGGATACTTTGGGACAAGTTTAGAGGGGTCTCTTGTGTGTGTGTCGGTCTGTGTGTGTGTTTAGATTCCTGAATTAGCCACTAGCTTTAGGATGCCCTAAAGGTAAAGGTTCCCCTGAAGAAGGCGGGGCTTAGCAGTGAGAAGACAGAGTTTCAGGCTATTCCTGAAATT